AACCATCTTAGTTTTGTCTCTATTGTGATTTTATTGATCAAGGAAAATGCATTTGCCCAATCAATATGAAAGGATTAGGTTTGATTGACGGCAGTAAAAAAAAAAAAAGAAAAGAAAAGAAAAACTTTCGTTTTCATTTGGCAAAATCCCCAAACTTTCACTTCACTTCGACATTCAAACATTTCAGAAAATATATTTTTAAAAAGGCAAAATATTTTAGCTTCTTGCTCTACTGGTAATTGTATAATTTTTGAATATATATTTCTAAAATGGCCAAGGTTTTAGTCTTCTTATTCTAGCTAGTCTAGCTAGTCCTCTTTTAAATTAATTGGCAAATTTGAGACTAGCTTCATACTTTCTGAACCTATTTCAAACTTTCTATTTTTGCAAGTTTAACAGACTTTATCAGTTTAATAAGGTGGCTCGATGGGTTTTCTTGGAGCGCTGGGGGAAAGGGGGGGGGGGGGGGGGAGGGATCTCTAAGAGCTTTTAAGGGAAGGCTGATGTAAAACTGTGTTAAGTATTGGCGCGTTTGCTTTACGACTCATTTTCTCCATTTTTTGACCTAAGTTTGTAATTCACGCTTGAAATCTTGGTGAATAAGTACTTTGTTCAAGGTTCAGAAAATTTGAAGAAAATATGTGAGAGGATTTGCGAGAAATATGATAAAATAATGAAACATTTCAGTAACGTCCCGATAAAAGTAGTTCATTTGCCTATTCCTAATTTGATCTAATGCTGCTGGTAAATCGATTTGGACTAATGGGAAAAACATCGAAAAGAAAATTCCAAAAATTTCCCGAAATATTTAAATAAACTAAACCAAAATTAAAAGATAAATTTAGGGATGCTCCTTCAAATCATGACTGATATTTTTGTTGGTGTTCAATCGTATTAAAATATCAGTACCATTGATATAGTATTGAAATATAACGAAGACTGAAGACCCGGAAAAACCAAGATGTTCAATGTTACCTCTGAAAGGAATCTCTTTCGTTTTCTTTCTTTAAAAAAAAAAAAAATTCCTGACTTTGGCCTGACGATCTGACGATATTAAAAAACTAAAATCCAAAGTATTCACTCCACGAAAAGTTTTGTCGAATGCTTTGTTTATACCGTTATAAGAAAAGTCTTACCAAAATAATTTTGTATTATCGATGTTTGGTTTTCGATTTATTGCAAATAAAAGTCACATTCTGTCACGCTAGTCTGTCACGCTATTCTGTCACGCATTTTCAAAGCAAAATAAATCTGGAAATTTGATTGAAATGATACGTTCTTGCATGATTACTGAGGTTTCTTTTTTTAAAGTTTTTTTTGTTAAAGGTTTTTTTTGTTTTTGGTTATTGTTATTGAAAATTTTAAGTGGCTGCAATATAAACATGATTTTCAACCTTCGTGATTTGGCCAACATCCTTGCGACACAGATGGCGGATCAAACAAGATCAAACCCTGTAGAACCTCAAGGCTGATCTAAATCAGGGCACGTCAAACTCAGAGATCGAACCCTGAAACAATCTGGGCTGATCTAAGTCAGTGCATGG